TCCACGTCCACGTCCACGTCCACGTCCAGGTCCACGTCCAGGTCCACGTCCACGTCCACGTCCACGTCCACGACCACGTCCACGTCCACGACCACGTCCAGGTCCACGTCCACGTCGAGGTCCACGTCCACGTCACCACGTCCACGTCCACGACCACGTCCACGTCCACGTCCACGTCCCGTCCACGTCCACGTCCACGTCCAGGTCCACGTCCACGTCCACGTCCACGTCCACGTCCACGTCCACGACCACGTCCACGTCCACGTCCACGACCACGACCACGTCCACGATCACGTCCACGTCCAGTCCACGACCACGTCCAGGTCCACGTCCACGTCGAGGTCCACGTCCACGTCCAGGTCCACGTCCAGGTCCACGTCCACGTCCAGGTCCACGTCCACGACCACGTCCACGTCCACGACCACGTCCACGTCCACGTCCACGTCGAGGTCCACGTCCACGTCACCACGTCCACGTCCACAACCACGTCCAGGTCCACGTCCACGTCCACGTCCACGTCCACGTCCACGTCCACGTCCAGTCCACGTCCACGTCCACGTCCAGGTCCACGTCCACGTCCACGACCACGTCCACGTCCACGTCCACGACCACGACCACGTCCACGATCACGTCCACGTCCAGTCCACGACCACGTCCAAGTCCACGTCCACGACCACGTCCACGACCACGTCCACGTCACGTCCACGTCTACGTCCACGTCCAAGTCCACGTCCAGTCCACGTCAACGTCCACGTCCAGTCCACGTCCAAGTCCACGGCGACCACGTCCACGTCCAGGTCCACGTCCACGTCCACATCTAAGTCCAAGTCCACGTCCACGTCCACGACCACCTCCACGACCACGTCCACGACCACGTCCACGTCCACGTCTACGTCCACGACCACCTCCACGACCACCTCCACGTCCACGTTCAAGTCTACGACCACGTCCACGTCCACGTCCACGACCACGTCCACGTCCACGTCGACGTCCACGACCACGTCCCAGTCCACGTCCACGTCCACGTCACCACGTCCAACTCCACGACCACGTCCACGACCACGTCCACGTCCACGTCCACGTTCACGTCCACGTCCACGTCCACGTCCACGTCCAGTCCACGTCCACGACCACGTCCACGTCCAAGTCCACGTCCACGTCCACGTCCACGTCCACGTCCACGTCCACGTCCACGTCCACGTCCACGTCCACGTCCACGTCCACGTCCACGTCCACGTCCACGACCAGGTCCACGTCCACGTCCACGTCCACGTCCACGTCACGACCACGTCCACGTCCACGTCCACGACCACGTCCACGTCAAAGTCCACGTCCACGTCCACGTCCGCGACCAGGTCCACGTCCACGACCACGTCCACGACCACGTCCAGGTCCACGTCTACGACCACGTCCACGGCCACGTCCACATCCACGTCCACGTCCACGTCCAGGTCCACGTCCAGGTCCACGTCCACGTCCACGTCCACGTCCACGTCCACGTCCACGTCCAAGTCCACGTCCACGTCCACGACCACGTCACGTCCACGACCACGTCCACGTCCAAGTCCACGTCCACTCCACTCCACGTCAACGTCCACGTCCAGTCCACGTCAACGTCCATGGCGACCACGTCCACGTCCAGGTCCACGTCCACGTCCACGTCTAAGTCCAAGTCCACGTCCACGTCCACGACCACGTCCACGACCACGTCCACGACCACGTCCACGTCCACGTCCACGTCCACGTCCACGACCACGTCCACGTCCACGTCCACGTCCACGTCCACGACCACGTCCACGACCACGTCCACGTCCACGTCCACGTCCACGTCCACGTCCAGGTCCACGTCCACGTCCACGTCCACGTCCACGTCCACGTCCACGTCCACGACCACGTCCACGTCCACGTCCACGTCCACGTCCACGACCACGTCCACGTCCACGTCCACGTCCACGACCACGTCCACGTCCACGTCCACGTCCACGTCCACGTCCACGTCCACGTCCACGTCAAACGTCCACGTTCCACGTCCACGTCCACGTCCAACCACGACCAAGTCCACGTCCACGTCCACGTCCACGTCCACGGTCCACGTCCACGTCCACGACCACGTCCAACGTCCACGTCCAAGTCCACGTCCACGTCCACGACCACGTCCACGTCCACGTCCACGTCACGTCCACGACCACGTCCACGTCCACGACCACGTCCAGGATCCACGTCCACGTCCACGTCCACGTCCACGACACGTCCAGGTCCACGTCCACGTCCACGACCACGTCCACGTCCACGACCAGTCCACGTCCACGTCCACGTCCACGTCCACCATGTCCACGTCCACGACCACGACCACGTCCACGTCCACGTCCACGTCCACGTCCACGACCACGTCCAGGTCCACGTCCACGTCCACGTCCACGTCCAGGTCCAGGTCCACGTCCACGTCCACGTCCAGGTCCAAGTCCACGTCCACGTCCACGTCCACGTCCAAGTCACGTCCACGTCCACGTCCACGTCACGACCACGTCCACGTCCACGTCCACGTCCACGTCCACGTCCACGTCCACGTCCACGTCCACGTCCACGTCCACGTCCACGTCCACGTCCACGACCACGTCCACGTCCACGTCCACGTCCACGTCCACGTCCAGGTCCACGTCCACGTCCACGTCCAAGTCCAAGTCCACGTCCACGTCCACGTCCACGTCCACGTCCACGTCCAGTCCACGTCCACGTCCACGACCACGTCCACGTCCACGTCCAAGTCCACGCACGTCCACGTCCACGTCCACGTCCACGTCCCGTCCACGTCCAACTCCACGTCCACGTCCAAGACCACGTCCACGTCCAACTCCACGTCCACGTCCAGTCCACGTCCACGTCCACGTCAAGTCCACGTCCAAGTCCACGCCACGTCCAAGTCCACGTCCACGTCCACGTCCACGTCCAACTCCACGTCCACGTCCAAGACGACCACGTCCACGTCCACAACCCTCCAGTCCACGTCCAAGTCCACGTCCACGTCAGACCACGTCCACGTCCAAGTCCAAGTCCACGTCCACGTCCACGACCACGTCCACGACCACGTCCACGTCCACGTCCACGTCCACGTCCACGTCCACGTCCACGTCCACGTCCACGTCCACGTCCACGTCCACGTCCACGTCCAAGTCCACGTCCACGTCCACGTCCACGTCCACGTCCACGTCCACGTCCACGTCCCAGTCCACGTCCACGTCCAGTCCACGTCCACGTCCACGTCCACGTCCACGTCCACGTCCACGTCCACGTCCACGTCCACGTCCACGTCCACGTCCAAGTCCACGTCCACGTCCACGTCCACGTCCACGACCACGTCCACGTCCACGTCCACGTCACGTCCACGTCCACGTCCACGACACGTCCACGTCCACGTCCACGTCCACGTCCACGTCCAAGTCCACGACCACGTCCACGTCCACGTCCACGTCCACGTCCACGTCCACGTCCACGTCCACGACCACGTCCAAGTCCACGACCACGTCCACGTCCACGTCCACGTCCACGTCCACGTCCACGTCCACGTCCACGTCCACGTCCACGTCCACGTCCACGTCCACGTCCACGTCCAGTCCACGTCCACGTCCACGTCACGACCACGTCCACGTCCACGTCCACGTCCACGTCACGACCACGTCCAAGTCCACGTCCACGTTCACGTCCACGTCCACGACCAAGTCCACGTCCACGACCACGTCCACGTCCACGTCCAGGTCCACGTCCACGACCACGTCCACGTCCACGTCCACGTCCACGTCCACGTCCAGGTCCACGTCCAGGTCCACGTCCACGTCCACGTCAACGTCCACGACCACGTCCACGTCCACGACCACGTCCACGTCCACGTCCACGTCCACGTCCACGTCCACGTCCAGGTCCACGTCCACGTCCACGTCCAAGTCCACGTCCACGTCCACGTCCACGTCCACGTCCACGTCCAAGTCCACGTCCACGTCCACGTCCCGCACGTCCACGTCCACGTCCACGTCCACGACCACCTCAAGTCCACGTCCACGTCCACGTCCACGTCCACGTCCACGACCACGTCCACGTCCACGTCCACGTCACGACCACGTCCACGTCCACGACCACGTCCACGTCCACGTCCACGTCCACTTCCACGTCCACGTCACCACGTCCACGTCCACGACCACGTCCACGACCACGTCCACGTCCACGTCCACGTCCACGTCCACGACCACGTCCACGTCCACGTCCACGTCCACGTCCACGTCCACGTCCACGTCCACGTCCACGTCCAGGTCCACGTCCACGTCCACGTCCACGTCCACGTCCACGTCCACGTCCACGTCCACGTCCACGTCCACGTCCACGTCCACGACCACGTCCACGTCCACGTCCACGTCCACGACCACGTCCACGACCACGTCCACGTCCACGTCCACGACCACGTCCACGTCCACGTCCACGTCCACGTCCACGTCCACGACCACGTCCACGTCCACGTCCACGTCCACGACCACGTCCACGTCCACGTCCACGTCCACGTCCACGTCCACGACACGTCCACGTCCACGTCCACGTCCACGTCCACGTCCACGTCACGACCACGTCCACGTCCACGTCCACGTCCACGTCCACGTCCACGACCACGTCCACGTCCACGTCCACGTCCACGTCCACGTCCACGTCCACGACCACGTCCACGTCCACGTCCACGTCCACGTCCACGTCCACGTCCACGTCCACGACCACGTCCACGTCCACGTCCACGTCCACGTCCACGTCCACGTCCACGTCAACGTCCACGTCCACGTCCACGTCCACGTCCACGTCCACGTCCACGTCCACGTCCACGTCCACGTCCACGACCACGTCCACGTCCACGTCACGTCCACGTCCACGTCCACGACCACGTCCACGTCCACGTCCACGTACGTCCACGTCCACGTCCACGTCCACGTCCACGTCCACGTCCACGTCCACGTCCACGTCCACGACCACGTCCACGTCCACGACCACGTCCACGTCCACGTCCACGTCCACGTCCACGTCCACGACCACGTCCACGTCACGTCCACGTCCACGACCACGTCCACGTCCACGACACGTCCACGTCCACGTCCACGTCCACGTCCACGTCACCACGTCCACGTCCACGACCACGTCCACGTCCACGTCCACGTCCACGTCCACGACCACGTCCACGTCCACGTCCACGTCCACGTCCACGTCCACGTCCACGTCCACGTCCACGTCCACGTCCACGTCCACGTCCACGTCCACGTCCACGTCCACGTCCACGTCCACGTCCAAGTCCACGTCCACGTCCACGTCCACGTCCACGACCACGTCCACGTCCACGTCCACGTCCACGTCCACGTCCACGTCCACGTCCACGTCCACGACCACGTCCACGTCCACGTCCACGTCCAAGACCACGTCCACGTCCACGTCCACGTCCACGTCCAGTCCACGTCCACGTCCACGTCCAGTCCACGTCCAAGTCCACGTCCACGTCCACGTCCACGTCCACGTCCACGTCCACGTCCACGTCCACGTCCAGGTTACGTCCAAGTCCACGTCCAAGTCCACGTCCACGTCCACGTCCACGTCCACGTCCACGTCCACTTCACGTCCACGTCCACGTCCACGTCCACGTCCACAACCACTCCACGTCCACGTCCACGTCCACGTCCACGTCCACGACCACGTCCACGTCCACGTCCAAGTCCAGTCCACGTCCACGTCCACGTCCACGACCACGTCCACGTTCACGTCCACGTCCACGACCACGTCCACGTCCACGTCCACGTCCACGTCCAAGTCCACGTCCACGTCCACGTCCACGTCCAAGTCCACGTCCACGTCCACGTCCACGTCCACGTCCACGTCCAAGTCCACGTCCACGTCCACGTCCACGTCCACGACCACGTCCACGTCCACGTCCACGTCCACGTCCACGTCCACGTCCACGTCCACGTCCAAGTCCACGACCACGTCCACGTCCACGTCCACGTCCACGTCCACGTCCACGACCACGTCCAAGTCCACGACCACGTCCACGTCCACGTCCAAGTCCACGACCACGTCCACGACCACGTCCACGTCCACGTCCACGTCCACGTCCACGACCACTCCATCCACGACCACGTCCACGTCCACGTCCACGTCCACGTCCACGACCCGTCCACGTCCACGTCCACGTCCACGTCAAGGTCCACGTCCACGTCCACGTCCACGACCACGTCCACGTCCACGTCCACGTCCACGTCACGACCACGTCCACGTCCACGTCCACGTCACGACCACGTCCACGTCCACGTCCACGTCCACGTCCACGTCAACGTCCACGTCCACGTCCACGTCCACGTCCACGACCACGTCCACGTCCACGACCACGTCCACGTCCAGGTCCACGTCCACGACCACGTCCACGTCCACGTCCACGTCCACGTCCACGTCCAGGTCCACGTCCACGTCACGACCACGTCCACGTCCACGTCCACGTCCACGTCCACGCCACGTCCACGTCCACGTCCACGTCCACGTCCACGTCCACGTCAACGTCCAGGTCCACGTCCACGTCCACGTCCAAGTCCACGTCCACGTCCACGTCCACGTCCCACCTCCACGACCACGTCCACGTCCACGTCCACGTCCACGACCACGTCCACGTCCACGTCCACGTCCACGTCCACGTCCACGTCCACGTCCAAGTCCACGTCCACGTCCACGACCACGTCCACGTCCACGTCCACGTCCACGTCCACGTCCACGTCCACGTCCACGTCCACGACCACGTCCACGTCCACGTCCACGACCACGTCCACGTCCACGTCCACGTCCACGTCCACGTCCACGACCACGTCCACGTCCAAGTCCACGTCCACGTCCACGTCCACGTCCACGTCCACGTCCACGACCACGTCCACGTCCACGTCCACGTCCACGTCCACGTCCACGACCACGTCCACGTCCACGTCCACGTCCACGTCCACGTCCACGTCCACGTCCACGTCCACGTCCACGTCCACGTCCACGTCCACGTCCACGTCCACGTCCACGTCCACGTCCACGTCCACGTCCACGTCCACGTCCACGACACGTCCACGTCCGTCCACGACCACGTCACATCACGTCCACGTCCACGTCCACGTCCACGTCCACGTCCACGTCCACGTCAACGTCCACGTCCACGTCCACGTCCACGTCCACGTCCACGTCCACGTCCACGTCCAGTCCACGTCCACGTCCACGGCACGACCACGTCCACGTCCGGTCCACGTCCACGTCCACGTCCACGTCCAAGTCCACGTCCACGTCCACGACCACGTCCACGACCACGTCCACGTCCACGTCCACGTCCACGACACGTCCACGTCCACGACCACGTCCACGTCCACGTCCACGTCCACGACCACGTCCACGTCCACGTCCACGTCCACGACCACGTCCACGTCCACGTCCACGTCCACGTCCACGACCACGTCCACGTCCACGTCCACGTCCACGACCACGTCCACGTCCACGTCCACGTCCACGTCCACGTCCACGTCCACGTCCACGTCCACGTCCACGTCCACGTCCACGTCCACGACCACGTCCACGTCCACTCCACGTCCACGTCCACGACCACGTCCAAGTCCACGTCCACGTCCACGTCCACGTCCACGACCACGTCCACGTCCACGTCCACGACCACGTCCACGTCCAAGTCCACGTCCACGTCCACGTCCACGTCCACGTCCACGTCCACGTCCACAGCCACGTCCACGACCACGTCCACGTCCACGTCCACGTCCACGTCCACGTCCACGACCACGTCCACGTCCACGTCCACGTCCACGTACGTCCACGTCCACGTCCACGTCCACGTCCACGACCACGTCCACGTCAGTCCACGTCCACGTCCACGACCACGTCCACGTCCACGACCACGTCCACGTCCACGTCCACGACCACGTCCACGTCCACGTCCACGTCCACGTCCACGTCCACGACCACGTCCACGTCCACGTCCACGTCCACGACCACGTCCACGTCCACGTCCACGTCCACGTCCACGTCCACGTCCACGTCCACGTCACCACGTCCACGTCCACGTCCACGTCCACGTCCACGTCCACGTCCACGTCCACGTCCACGTCCACGTCCACGACCACGTCCACGTCCACGTCCACGTCCACGTCCACGTCCACGTCCAGGTCCACGTCCACGTCCACGTCCACGTCCACGTCCACGTCCAGGTCCACGTCCACGTCCACGTCCAAGTCCACGTCCACGTCCACGTCCACGTCCACGTCCACGTCCACGTCCAAGACCACGTCCACGTCCAACTCCACGTCCACGTCCACGTCCACGACCACGTCCACGTCCACGTCCACGTCCAAGTCCACGTCCAAGTCCACGTCCACGTCCACGTCCAGTCCACATCCACGTCCACGTCCAGTCCACGTCCAAGTCCACGTCCAAGTCCACGTCCACGTCCACGTCCACGTCCACGTCCAACTCCACTTCCACGTCCAAGTCACGACCACGTCCACGTTCACACACCACTCCAGTCCACGTCCACGTCCACGTCCACGTCCACGACCACGTCCACGTCCACGTCCAAGTCCACGTCCACGTCCACGTCCACGACCACGTCCACGACCACGTCCAATCTCACGTCCACGTCCACGACCACGTCCACGTCCACGTCCAAGTCCACGTCCACGTCCACGTCCACGTCCACGTCCACGTCCACGTCCAAGTCCAAGTCCACGTCCAAGTCCACGTCCACTCCACGACACGTCCACGTCCACGTCCAAGTCCACGTCCACGTCCACGTCCACGTCCACGTCCAAGTCCACGTCCAAGTCCACGACCACGTCCACGACCACGTCCACGTCCACGTCCACGTCCACGTCCACGACCACGTCCAAGTCCACGACCACCTCCACGTCCACGTCCACGTCCAAGTCTACGACCACGTCCACGACCACGTCCACGTCCACGACCACGTCCACAACCACGTCCAAGTTCACGTCCACGTCCACGTCCACGTCCACGACCACGTCCACGTCCACGTCCACGTCCACGTCCACGTCCACGTCCACGTCCACGTCCACTCACGTCCACGTCACGTTCCACGTCCACGGTCCACGACCACCACCTCCACGTCCACCTCCACGTCCACGTCCACGTCCACGACCACGTCCACGTCCACGACCACGTCCACGTCCAAGTCCACGTCCACGTCCACGACCACGTCCACGTCCACGTCCAGGTCCACGTCCAACTCCGTCCACGTCCACGTCCAAGTCCACGACCACGTCCACGACCACGTCCACGACCACGTCCACGACCACGACCACGTCCACGTCCACGACCACGTCCACGATCACGTCCACGTCCAGTCCACGTCCACGTCCACGTCCACGTCCACGTCCACGAACACGTCCACGTCACGTCCACGTCCACGTCCAAGTCCACGTCCAGTCCACGTCAACGTCTACGTCCAGTCCACGTCCAAGTTCACGGCGACCACGTCCACGTCCAGGTCCACGTCCACGTCCACGTCCAAGTTCACGTCCACGTCCACGACCACGTCCACGACCACGTCCACGACCACGTCCACGTCCACGTCCACGTCCACGTCCATGTCCACGTCCATGACCACCTCCACGACCACCTCCACGTCCAAGTCCACGACCACGTCCACGTCCACGTCCACGACCACGTCCGCGTCCACGTCCACGTCCACGACCACGTCCAGGTCCACGTCCACGTCTACGACACTACGTCCACCTCCACGACCACGTCTACGACCACGTCCACGTCCACGTCCACGTTCACGTCCACGTCCACGACCACGTCTAAGTCCACGTCCACGTCCACGTGCAGGTCAACGTGCAGGTCCACGTCCACGTCCACGTCCACGTCCACGTCCAAGTCCACGTCCAAGTCCACGTCTACGTCCACGACCACGTCCACGTCCACGTCCACGTCCACGACCACCTCCAAGTCCACGTCCACGTCCACGTCCACGTCCACGTCCACGTCCACGTCCGCGTCTACGTCCACGACCACGTCCAGGTCCACGTCCACGTCCACGTCCACGTCCACGTCCACGTCCACGTCCTCGACCACGTCCACGACCACGTCCACGTTCCCGTCCACGTCCACGTCCAGGTCCACGTCCACGTCCACGTCCACGACCACGTCCACGTCCACGTCCACGTCCACGACCACCTCCAAGTCCACCTCCACGTCCACGTCCACGTCCACGACCACGTCCACGTCCACGACCACGTCCACGTCCACGTCCAAGTCCACGTCCACGTCCACGACCACGTCCACGTCCAACTCCACGTCCACGTACAAGACCACGTCCACGTCCAACTCCACGTCCACGTCCAGTCCACGTCAACGTCCACGTCCAGTTTACGTCCAAGTCCACGTCCAAGTCCACGTCCAAGTCCACGTCCACGTCCACGTCCAACTCCACGTCCACGTCCATGTCCACGTTCACGACCACGTCCAAGTCCACGTCCACGTCCACGTCCACGTCCACGTCCACGTCCAACTCCACGTCCACGTCCACGTCCACGTCCACGTCCACGTCCACGACCACATCCACGTCCACGTCCACGTCCACGTCCACGTCCAACTCCACTTCCACGTCCACGTTCACGACCACGTACAAGTCCACGTCCACGTCCACGATCACGTCCACGTCCACGTCCACGTCTACGTCCACGGTCCAAGTCCACGTCCACGTTCCACGTCCAAGTCCCACGTCCACGTCCACGTCCACGTACACGTCCACGTCCACGTCCAAGTCCAAGTCCAAGTCCAAGTCCACGTCCACGACCACGTCCACGTCCCCGTCCAAGTCCACGTCCACGTCCACGTCCACGTCCACGTCCAAGTCCACGTCCAAGTCCACGACCACGTCCACGACCACGTCCACGTCCACGTCGACGTCCACGTCCACGTCCACGACCACCTCCACGTCCACGTCCAAGTCCACGACCACGTCCGCGTTCACGTCCACGTCCACGACCAGGTCCACGTCCACGTCCACGTCCACGTCCACGTCCACGTCCACGTCCAGGTCCACGTCCAGGTCCACGTCCACTTCCACGTCACGACCACGTCCACGTCCACGACCACGTCCAGGTTCCACGTCCACGTCCACGACCACGTCCACGTCCACGACCACGTCCAGGTCCACGTCCACGTCACGTCCACGTCCACGTCCACGTCCACGTCACCACGTCCACGTCCCACGACCACGTCCACGACCACGTCCACGTCCACGTCCACGACCACGTCCACGTCCACGACCACGTCCAGGTCCACGTCCACGTCCACGTCCACGTCCACGTTCCACGTCACCACGTCCACGTCCACGACCACGTCCACGTCGACCACGTCCACGTCCACGACCACGTCCACGACCACGTCCACGTCCACGTCCACGACCACGTCCACGTCCACGACCACGTCCAGGTCCACGTCCACGTCCACGTCCACGTCCACGTCCACGTCCACGTCACCACGTCCACGTCCACGACCACGTCCACGACCACGTCCACGTCCACGTCCACGTCTAGGTCCACGTCCACGTCCACGTCCACGTCCACGTCCACGTCCACGTCCACGGTCCACGACCACGTCCAAGTTCCACGTCCACGTCCACGTCCACGACCACGTCCACGTCCAGGTCCACGTCCACGTCCAAGTCCACGACCACGTCCACGACCACGTCCACGTCCACGTCGACGTCCACGTCCACGTCCACGACCACCTCCAAGTCCACGACCACCTCCACGTCCACGTCCAAGTCCACGACCACGTCTGCATTCACGTCCACGTCCACGACCAGGTCCACGTCCACGTCCACGTCCACGTCCAGGTCCACGTCCACGTCCAGGTCCACGTCCAGGTCCACGTCCACTTCCACGTCACGACCACGTCCACGTCCACGACCACGTCCAGGTCCACGTCCACGTCCACGACCACGTCCACGTCCACGACCACGTCCAGGTCCACGTCCACGTCCACGTCCACGTCCACGTCCACGTCCACGTCACCACGTCCACGTCCACGACCACGTCCACGTCCACGTCCACGACCACGTCCACGACCACGTCCACGTCCACCTCCACGTCCACGACCACGTCCACGTCCACGTCCACGTCCACGTCCACGTCCACCTCCAAGTCCACGTCCACGTCCACATCCACGACCAACTCCACGTCCACGACCACGTCCACGTCCACGTCCAAGTCCAAGTCCACGTCCACGTCCACGTCAACGTCCACGTCCAGGTCCACGTCCACGTCCAACTCCACGTACACGTCCAAGACCACGTCCACGTCCAACTCCACGTCCATGTCCAGTCCACGTCCAGTTTACGTCCAAGTCCACGTCAACGTCCACGTCCACGTCCACGTCCAACTCCACTTCCACGTCCAAGACTACGACCACGTCCACGTCCATAAACACGTCCAGTCCACGTCCAAGTCCACGTCCACCTCCAAGTCCACGTCCACGTCCACGACCACGTCCACGACCACGTCCACGTCCACGTCCACGTCCACGTCCACGTCCAAGTCCACGTCCACGACCACGTCCACGTCCACGTCCAACTCCACGTCCACGTCCAAGACCACGTCCACGTCCAACTCCACGTCCACGTCCAGTCCACGTCAACGTCCACGTCCAGTTTACGTCCAAGTCCACGTCCACGTCCACGTCCACGTCCAACTCCACTTCCACGTCCAAGACTACGACCACGTCCACGACCACGTCCAGTCCACGTCCAAGTCCACGTCCACGTCCACGACCACGTCCACGTCCACGTCCAAGTCCACGTCCACGTCCACGACCACGTCCACGTCCACGTCCACGTCCAAGTCCACGTCCACGTCCACGACCACGTCCTCGACCACGTCCAAGTCCACGTCCACGTCCACGACCATGTCCATGTCCACGTCCACGTCCACGTCCACGTCCACGTCCACGTCCACGTCCTCGTCCACGTCCACGTCCAGGTCCACGTCCACGTCCACGTACATTTCCACGTACACGTCCACGTCCACGTCCAAGTCCAAGTCCAAGTCCAAGTCCAAGTCAACGTCCACGTCCACGACCACGTCCACGTCCCCGTCCAAGTCCACATCCACGTCCACGTCCACGTCCACGTTTAAGTCCACGTCCAAGTCCACGACCACGTCCACGACCACGTCCACGTCCACGTCCACGTCGACGTCCACGTCCACGTCCACGACCATGTCCACGTCCACGACCACCTCCACGTCCACGTCCAAGTCCACGACCACCTCCACGTCCACGTCCACGAGCAGGTCCATGCCACGTCCTCGTTCACGTCCAGGTCCACGTCCACGTCCACGTCCACGTCCATGTCCACGTTCACGTCCAAGTCCACGACCACGTCCACGTCCTCGTCCCCGACCACGTCCACGTCACGACCACGTCCAAGACCACGTCCACGTCCACGTCCACGTCCACGTCCACGACCACGTCCACGTCCACGTCCACGTCCACGTCCACGACCACGTCCACGTCCAAGTCCACGTCCACGACCACGTCCACGTCCACGTCCACCTCCACGACCATGTCCACGTCCACGTCCAGGTACACGTCCACGACCACGTCCAGGTCCAGGTCCCAGTCCACGTCCACGTCCACGTCCACGTCCACGTCCAAGTCCACGACCACGTCCACGTCCACGTCCACGTACATTTCCACGTACACGTCCACGTCCACGTCCAAGTCCACGTCCAACTCCAAGACCACGTCCAGTCCACGTCCAAGACCACGTCCACGTCCACGTCCACGTCCAAGTCCACGTCCACGTCCACGACCACGTCCACGTCCAAGTCCACGTCCACGTCCACGACCACGTCCACGTCCACGTCCAAGTCCACGTCCAAGTCAATGTCCACGTCCAAGTCCACGTCCACGTCCACGTCCAGTCCACGTCCAAGTCCACGTCCACGTCCAAGTCCACGTCCACGTCCACGTCCACGTCACGTCCACGTCCACGTACAAGTCCACGTCCAGTACACGTCTACGTCCTCGTCCAGTCCACGTCCAAGTCCACGGCGACCACGTCCACATCCAAGTCCACGTCCTCGTCCACGTCTAAGTCCAAGTCCACGACCACTTCCACGACCACGTCCACGACCACGTCCACGTCCACGTCCACGTCCACGTCCACATCCATGCCACGTCCACGTCCACGTCCACGTCCAAGTCCACGTCCACGTCCACGTCCAAGTCCACGTCCACATCCACGTCCACGTACATTTCCACGTCCACGTCCAAGTCCAAGTCCAAGTCCAAGTCCACGTCCACGACCACGTCCACGTCCCCGTCCACGTCCACGTCCACGTCCACGTTCAAGTCCACGACCACGTCCACGACCACGTCCACGTCCGCGTCGACGTCCACGTCCACGTCCAAGTCGACGTCCACGTCCACGTCGAAGTCCACGTCCACGTCCACGTCACGTCCACGTCCACGTCCACGTCCAAGTCCACGTCCAGTACACGTCTACGTCCACGTCCAGTCCACGTCCAAGTCCACGGCGACCACGTCCACGTCCAGGTCCACGTCCACGTCCACGTCTAAGTCCAAGTCCTCGACCACTTCCACGACCACGTCCACGACCACGTCCACGTCCACGTCCACGTCCACGTCCACGACCACGTCCACGTCCACGTCCACGTCCACGTCCACGTCCACGTCCAAGTCCACGTCCACGTTCACGTCCACGTCCAAGTCCAAGTCCACGTCCACGTCCACGTACATTTCCACGTCCACGTCCACGTCCAAGTCCAAGTCCAAGTCCAAGTCCACGTCCACGACCACGTCCACGTACATTTCCACGTCCACGTCCACGTCCAAGTCCACGTCCACGTCCACGTCCACGTACATTTCCACGTCCACGTCCACGTCCAAGTCCAAGTCCAAGTCCAAGTCCACGTCCACGACCACGTCCACGTCCCCGTCCACGTCCACGTCCATGTCCAAGTCCACGACCACGTCCACGACCACTTCCACGTCCACGTCGACGTCCACGTCCACGTCCACGTCCACGTCCACGTCGAAGTCCACGTCCACGTCCACGTCACGTCCACGTCCACGTCCACGTCCACGTCCAAGTCCACGTCCAGTACACGTCTACGTCCACGTCCAAGTCCACGGCGACCACGTCCACGTCTAAGTCCAAGTCCTCGACCACTTCCACGACCACGTCCACGTCCACGTCCACGTCCACGTCCACGTCCACGTCCACGACCACATCCACGTCCAAGTCCAAGTCCCCGTCCACGTCCACGTCCACGTCCAAGTCCACGACCACTTCCACGACCACGTCCACGACCACGTCCACGTCCACGTCCACGTCCACGACCACTTCCACGTCCCCGTCCACGACCACGTCCACGTCCACGTCCAAGTCCACATCCACGACCACGTCCACGTCCCCGTCCACGTCCACGTCCACGTCCACGTCCACGTCCACGTCCAAGTCCACGACCACGTCCACGACAACGTCCACGTCCCCGTCCACGTCCACGTCCACGTCCACGACCACGTCCACGTCCCCGTCCACGTCCACGTCCACGTCCACGTCCAAGTCCACGACCACGTCCACGACAACGTCCACGTCACGACCACGTCCACGTCCACGTCCACGTCCACAACCACGTCAACGTCAAAGTCCACGTCCACGTCCACGTCCACGTCCACGACCAGGTCCACGTCCACGACCACGTCCACGTCCACGTCCAGGTCCACGTCCAGGTCCACGTCCACGTCCACGTCCACGTCCACGACCACGTCCACGTCCACGTCCACGACCACGTCCACGTCACGTCCACGTCCACGTCCACGTCCACGACCACGTCCACGACCACGTCCACGACCACGTCCACGACCACGTCCACGTCCACGACCACGACCACGTCCACGATCACGTCCACGTCCAGTCCACGTCCACGTCCAAGTCCACGTCCACGACCACGTCCACGACCACGTCCACGTCACGTCCACGTCCAAGTCTACGTCCAGTCCACGTCAACGTCCACGTCCAGTCCACGTCCAAGTCCACGGCGACCACGTCCACGTCCAGGTCCACGTCCACGTCCACGTCTAAGTCCAAGTCCACGTCCACGTCCACGTCCACATCCACGACCACATCCACGTCCAAGTCCAAGTCCCCGTCCACGTCCACGTCCACGTCCACGTCCAAGTCCACGACCACTTCCACGACCACGTCCACGACCACGTCCATGTCCACGTCCACGTCCACGACCACTTCCACGTCCACGACCACTTCCACGTCCCCGTCCACGACCACGTCCACGTCCACGTCCACGTCCACGTCCACGTCCACGTCCACGACCACGTCCACGTCCACGTCCACGTCCACGTCCACGTCCACGTCCAACTCCACTTCCACGTCCACGTTCACGACCACGTACAAGTCCACGTCCACGTCCACGATCACGTCCACGTCCACGTCCACGTCTACGTCCACGTCCAAGTCCACGTCCACGTCCACGTCCAAGTCCACGTCCACGTCCACGTCCACGTACACGTCCACGTCCACGTCCAAGTCCAAGTCCAAGTCCACGTCCACGACCACGTCCACGTCCCCGTCCAAGTCCACGTCCACGTCCACGTCCACGTCCACGTCCAAGTCCACGTCCAAGTCCACGACCACGTCCACGACCACGTCCACGTCCACGTCGACGTCCACGTCCACGTCCACGACCACCTCCAAGTCCACGACCACCTCCACGTCCACGTCCAAGTCCACGACCACGTCCGCGTTCACGTCCACGTCCACGACCAGGTCCACGTCCACGTCCACGTCCACGTCCACGTCCAGGTCCACGTCCAGGTCCACGTCCACTTCCACGTCACGACCACGTCCACGTCCACGACCACGTCCAGGTCCACGTCCACGTCCACGACCACGTCCACGTCCACGACCACGTCCAGGTCCACGTCCACGTCACAGTCCACGTCCACGTCCACGTCCACGTCCACGTCACCACGTCCACGTCCACGACCACGTCCACGACCACGTCCACGTCCACGTCCACGACCACGTCCACGTCCACGACCACGTCCAGGTCCACGTCCACGTCCACGTCCACGTCCACGTCCACGTCCACGTCACCACGTCCACGTCCACGACCACGTCCACGACCACGTCCACGTCCACGACCACGTCCACGACCACGTCCACGTCCACGTCCACGACCACGTCCACGTCCACGACCACGGTCCAGGTCCACGTCCACGTCCACCACGTCACGTCACATCCACGGTCCACGTCACCACGTCCAGTCCTACGACCACGTCCACGACCACGTCCACGTCCACGTCCACGTCCACGTCCACGTCCACGTCCACGTCCACGTCCACGTCCACGTCCACGTCCACGACCACGTCCAAGTCCACGTCCACGTCCACGTCCACGACCACGTCCACGTCCAGGTCCACGTCCACGTCCAAGTCCACGACCACGTCCACGACCACGTCCACGTCCACGTCGACGTCCACGTCCACGTCCACGACCACCTCCAAGTCCACGACCACCTCCACGTCCACGTCCAAGTCCACGACCACGTCTGCGTTCACGTCCACGTCCACGACCAGGTCCACGTCCACGTCCACGTCCACGTCCAGGTCCACGTCCACGTCCAGGTCCACGTCCAGGTCCACGTCCACTTCCACGTCACGACCACGTCCACGTCCACGACCACGTCCAGGTCCACGTCCACGTCCACGACCACGTCCACGTCCACGACCACGTCCAGGTCCACGTCCACGTCCACGTCCACGTCCACGTCCACGTCACCACGTCCACGTCCACGACCACGTCCACGTCCACGTCCACGACCACGTCCACGACCACGTCCACGTCCACGTCCACGACCACGTCCACGACCACGTCCACGACCACGTCCACCTCCACGTCCACGACCACGTCCACGTCCACGTCCACGTCCACGTCCACCTCCAAGTCCACGTCCACGTCCACATCCACGACCAACTCCACGTCCACGACCACGTCCACGTCCACGTCCACGTCCAAGTCCACGTCCACGTCCACGTCAACGTCCACGTCCAGGTCCACGTCCACGTCCAACTCCACGTACACGTCCAAGACCACGTCCACGTCCAACTCCACGTCCATGTCCAGTCCACGTCCAGTTTACGTCCAAGTCCACGTCAACGTCCACGTCCACGTCCACGTCCAACTCCACTTCCACGTCCAAGACTACGACCACGTCCACGTCCATAACCACGTCCAGTCCACGTCCAAGTCCACGTCCAAGTCCACGTCCACGTCCACGTCCAAGTCCAAGTCCACGTCCACGACCACGACCACGTCCACGACCACGTCCACGTCCACGACAACGTCCACGTCCACGTCCACGACCACGTCCACGACCACGTCCACGTCCACGACCACGACCACGTCCACGTCCACGTCCACGTCCACGACCACGTCCACGTCCACGTCCACGTCCACGTCCAACTCCACGTCCACGTCCAAGACCACGTCCACGTCCAACTCCACGTCCACGTCCAGTCCACGTCAACGTCCACGTCCAGTTTACGTCCAAGTCCACGTCCAAGTCCACGTCTACGTCCACGTCCACGTCCACGTCCACGTCCAGGTCCACGACCATGTCCACGTCAACGTCCACGTCCACGCCCACGTCCACGTCCACGTCCACGTCCACGTCCACGTCCACGTCCACGTCCACGACCACGTCCACGTCCACGTCCACGTCCACGTCTAGGTCAACGTGCAGGTCCACGTCCACGTCCACGTCCACGTCCACGTCCATGTCCACGTCCAAGTCCAAGTCCACGCCCACGTCCACGATCACGTCCACGTCCACGTCCACATCACCACGTCCACGTCCACGTCCAGGTCCACGTCCACGTCCACGTCCACGTCCACGTCCAGGTCCAGGTCCAGGTCCACGTCCACGTCCAGGTCCAAGTCCACGCCCACGTCCACGTCCACGTCCACGTCCACGTCCACATCACCACGTCCACGTCCACGTCCACGTCCACGACCACGTCCACGTCCACGTCCACGTCCACGACCACCTCCAAGTCCACCTCCAAGTCCACGTCCACGTCCACGTCCAAGTCCAAGTCCAAGTCCAAGTCCACGTCCACCTCCACGACCACGTCCACGTCCCCGTCCAAGTCCACGTCCACGTCCACGTCCACGTCCACGTCCACGTCCAAGTCCACGTCCAAGTCCACGACCACGTCCACGACCACGTCCACGTCCACGTCCACGTCCACGTCCACGTCCACGACCACCTCCAAGTCCACGACCACCTCCACGTCCACGTCGAAGTCTACGACCACGTCCACGACCACGTCCACGTCCACGTCCACGTCCACGTCCACGACCACCTCCAAGTCCACGACCACCTCCACGTCCATGTCCACGTCCACGTCCACGACCAGGTCCACGTCCACGACCACGTCCACGTCCACGTCCACGTCCAAGTCCACGTCCACGTCCACGACCACGTCCACGTCCACGTCCATGTCCACGTCCAACTCCACGTCCACGTCCAAGACCACGTCCACGTCCAACTCCACGTCCACGTCCACGTCCACGTTCACGACCACGTCCAAGTCCACGTCCACGTCCACGACCACGTCCACGTCCACGTCCACGTTCACGTCCACGTCCAAGTCCACGTCTACGTCCACGTCCAAGTCCACGTCCACGTCCACGTCCACGTACACGTCCACGTCCACGTCCACGTCCAAGTCCAAGTCCAAGTCCAAGTCCACGTCCACGACCACGTCCACGTCCCCGTCCAAGTCCACGTCCACGTCCACGTCCACGTCCACGTCCCCGTCCAAGTCCACGTCCACGTCCACGTCCACGTCCACGTCCACGTCCACGTCCACGTTCACGTCCACGTCCACGACCAGGTCCACGTCCACGTCCACGTCCAGGTCCACGTCCACGTCCACGTCCAGGTCCACGTCCAGGTCCACGTCCACTTCCACGTCACGACCACGTCCACGTCCACGACCACGTCCAGGTCCACGTCCACGTCCACGACCACGTCCACGTCCACGACCACGTCCACGTCGACGTCCACGTCCACGTCCACGACCACCTCCACGTCCACGTCCAAGTCCACGACCACGTCCACGTTCACGTCCACGTCCACGACCAGGTCCACGTCCACGTCCACGTCCAGGTCCACGTCCACGTCCACGTCCAGGTCCACGTCCAGGTCCACGTCCACTTCCACGTCACGACCACGTCCACGTCCACGACCACGTCCAGGTCCACGTCCACGTCCACGACCACGTCCACGTCCACGACCACGTCCAGGTCCACGTCCACGTCCACGTCCACGTCACAACGTCCACGTCCACGACCACGTCCACGTCCACGTCCACGACCACGTCCACGTCCACGTCCACGACCACGTCCACGTCCACGTCCACGTCCACGTCCACGTCCACGTCCAGGTCCACGTCCACGTCCACGTCCACGTCCACGTCCACGTCCACGTCGACGACCACGTCCACGTCCACGACCACGTCCACGTCCACATCCACGTCCACGTCCACGTCCACCTCCAAGTCCACGACCACGTCCACGTCCACATCCACGACCAAGTCCACGTCCACGACCACGTCCACGTCCACGTCCACGTCCACGTCCAAGTCCACGTCCACGTCCACGTCAACGTCCACGTCCACGTCCACGTCCAACTCCATGTACACGTCCAAGACCACGTCCACGTCCAACTGCACGTCCACGTCCAGTCCACGTCCAACTCCACGTCCAGTTTACGTCCAAGTCCACGTCAACGTCCACGTCCACGTCCACGTCCAACTCCACTTCCACGTCCAAGACTACGACCACGTCCACGTCCACAACCACGTCCAGTCCACGTCCAAGTCTACGTCCAAGTCCAAGACCACGTCCACGTCCAACTCCACGTCCACGTCCAGTCCACGTCAACGTCCACGTCCAGTTTACGTCCAAGTCCACGTCCAAGTCCACGTCTACGTCCACGTCCACGTCCACGTCCACGTCCACGTCCAGGTCCACGACCACGTCCACGTCAACGTCCACGTCCACGCCCACGTCCACGTCCACGTCCACGTCCACGTCCACGTCCACGTCCACGTCCACGACCACGTCCACGTCCACGTCCACGTCCACGTCTAGGTCAACGTGCAGGTCTACGTCCACGTCCACGTCCACGTCCACGTCCATGTCCACGTCCAAGTCCAAGTCCACGCCCACGTCCACGATCACGTCCACGTCCACGTCCACATCACCACGTCCACGTCCACGTCCAGGTCCACGTCCACGTCCACGTCCACGTCCACGTCCAGGTCCAGGTCCAGGTCCACGTCCACGTCCAGGTCCAAGTCCACGCCCACGTCCACGTCCACGTCCACGTCCACATCACCACGTCCACGTCCACGTCCACGACTACGTCCACGTCCACGTCCACGTCCACGACCACCTCCAAGTCCACCTCCAAGTCCACGTCCACGTCCACGTCCAAGTCCAAGTCCAAGTCCAAGTCCACGTCCACCTCCACGACCACGTCCACGTCCCCGTCCAAGTCCACGTCCACGTCCACGTCCACGTCCACGTCCACGTCCAAGTCCACGTCCAAGTCCACGACCACGTCCACGACCACGTCCACGTCCACGTCCACGTCCACGTCCACGACCACCTCCAAGTCCACGACCACCTCCACGTCCATGTCCACGTCCACGTCCACGACCAGGTCCACGTCCACGACCACGTCCACGTCCACGTCCACGTCCAAGTCCACGTCCACGTCCACGACCACGTCCACGTCCACGTCCATGTCCACGTCCAACTCCACGTCCACGTCCAAGACCACGTCCACGTCCAACTCCACGTCCACGTCCACGTCCACGTTCACGACCACGTCCAAGTCCACGTCCACGTCCACGACCACGTCCACGTCCACGTCCACGTTCACGTCCACGTCCAAGTCCACGTCTACGTCCACGTCCAAGTCCACGTCCACGTCCACGTCCACGTACACGTCCACGTCCACGTCCACGTCCAAGTCCAAGTCCAAGTCCAAGTCCACGTCCACGACCACGTCCACGTCCCCGTCCAAGTCCACGTCCACGTCCACGTCCACGTCCACGTCCCCGTCCAAGTCCACGTCCACGTCCACGTCCACGTCCACGTCCACGTCCACGTCCACGTTCACGTCCACGTCCACGACCAGGTCCACGTCCACGTCCACGTCCAGGTCCACGTCCACGTCCACGTCCAGGTCCACGTCCAGGTCCACGTCCACTTCCACGTCACGACCACGTCCACGTCCACGACCACGTCCAGGTCCACGTCCACGTCCACGACCACGTCCACGTCCACGACCACGTCCACGTCGACGTCCACGTCCACGTCCACGACCACCTCCACGTCCACGTCCAAGTCCACGACCACGTCCACGTTCACGTCCACGTCCACGACCAGGTCCACGTCCACGTCCACGTCCAGGTCCAGGTCCACGTCCACGTCCAGGTCCACGTCCACTTCCACGTCACGACCACGTCCACGTCCACGACCACGTCCAGGTCCACGTCCACGTCCACGACCACGTCCACGTCCACGACCACGTCCAGGTCCACGTCCACGTCCACGTCCACGTCACAACGTCCACGTCCACGACCACGTCCACGTCCACGTCCACGACCACGTCCACGTCCACGTCCACGACCACGTCCACGTCCACGTCCACGTCCACGTCCAGGTCCACGTCCACGTCCACGTCCACGTCCACGTCCACGTCGACGACCACGTCCACGTCCACGACCACGTCCACGTCCACGTCCACGTCCACGTCCACCTCCAAGTCCACGACCACGTCCACGTCCACATCCACGACCAAGTCCACGTCCACGACCACGTCCACGTCCACGTCCACGTCCACGTCCAAGTCCACGTCCACGTCCACGTCAACGTCCACGTCCACGTCCACGTCCAACTCCATGTACACGTCCAAGACCACGTCCACGTCCAACTCCACGTCCACGTCCAGTCCACGTCCAACTCCACGTCCAGTTTACGTCCAAGTCCACGTCAACGTCCACGTCCACGTCCACGTCCAACTCCACTTCCACGTCCAAGACTACGACCACGTCCACGTCCACAACCACGTCCAGTCCACGTCCAAGTCTACGTCCAAGTCCAAGACCACGTCCACGTCCAACTCCACGTCCACGTCCAGTCCACGTCAACGTCCACGTCCAGTTTACGTCCAAGTCCACGTCCAAGTCCACGTCCAGGTCCACGACCACGTCCACGTGCACGTCCACGCCCACGTCCACGTCCACGTCCACGTCCACGACCACGTCCACGTCCACGTCCACGTCCACGTCCACGTTCAGGTCAACATGCAGGTCCACGTCCACGTCCACGTCCACGTCCAAGTCCACGTCCACGTCCACGTCCAAGTCCACGTCCACGTCCATGTCCACGTCCAAGTCCAAGTCCAAGTCCACGTCCACGTCCACGATCACGTCCACGTCCACGTCCACGTCCACGTCCACGACCACCTCCAAGTCCACGTCCACGTGCACGACCACGTCCAGTTCCACGTCCACGTCCACGTCCACGTCCACGTCACCACGTCCACGTGCACGACCACGTCCAGTTCCACGTCCACGTCCACGTCCACGTCCACGTCACCACGTCCACGTCCACGACCACGTCCAGGTCCACGTCCAGGTCCACGTCCACGTCCAAGTCCACGTCCACGTTCACGTCCAGGTCCACGTCGACGTCCACATCCACGTCCACGTCCACGTCCAGGTCCACGTCCACGTCCACGACCACGTCCAGGTCCACGTCCACGTCCACGTCCACGTCACAACGTCCACGTCCACGTCCACGTCCACGACCACGTCCACGTCCACGTCCACGACCACGTCCACGTCCACGTCCACGTCCATGTCAACGTCCACGTCCACGTCCACGTCCAACTCCATGTACACGTCCAAGACCACGTCCACGTCCAACTCCACGTCCACGTCCAGTCCACGTCCAACTCCACGTCCAGTTTACGTCCAAGTCCACGTCAACGTCCACGTCCACGTCCACGTCCAACTCCACTTCCACGTCCAAGACTACGACCACGTCCACGTCCACAACCACGTCCAGTCCACGTCCAAGTCTACGTCCAAGTCCACGTCCACGTCCACGTCCAAGTCCAAGTCCATGTCCACGACCATGACCACGTCCACGACCACGTCTACGTCCACGACCACGTCCACGTCCACGTCCACGACCACGTCCACGACCACGTCCACGTCCACGACCACGACCACGTCCACGTCCACGTCCACGTCCACGACCACGTCCACGTCCACGTCCACGTCCAACTCCACGTCCACGTCCAAGACCACGTCCACGTCCAACTCCACGTCCACGTCCAGTCCACGTCAACGTCCACGTCCAGTTTACGTCCAAGTCCACGTCCAAGTCCACGTCCAGGTCCACGACCACGTCCACGTCCACGTCCACGCCCACGTCCACGTCCACGTCCATGTCCACGACCACGTCCACGTCCACGTCCACGTCCACGTCCACGTTCAGGTCAACATGCAGGTCCACGTCCACGTCCACGTCCACGTCCAAGTCCACGTCCACGTCCATGTCCACGTCCAAGTCCAAGTCCAAGTCCACGTCCACGTCCACGATCACGTCCACGTCTACGTCCACGTCCACGTCCACGACCACCTCCAAGTCCACGTCCACGTCCACGTCCACGTTCACGTCCACGTCCACGTCCACGTCCACGACCACGTCCAGGTCCACGTCCACGTGCACGACCACGTCCAGTTCCACGTCCACGTCCACGTCCACGTCCACGTCCACGTCACCACGTCCACGTCCACGACCACGTCCACGACCACGTCCACGTCCACGTCCACGACCACGACCACGTCCACGACCACGTCCACGTCCACGTCCACGACCACGTCCAGGTCCACGTCCACGTCCACGTCCACGTCCAGGTCCACGTCCAGGTCCACGTCCACGTCCAAGTCCACGTCCACGTTCACGTCCAGGTCCACGTCGACGTCCACGTCCACGTCCACGTCCACGTCCAGGTCCACGTCCACGTCCACGACCACGTCCAAGTCCACGTCCACGTCCACGTCCACGTCAACGTCCACGACCAAGTCCACGACCACGTCCACGTCCACGTCCACGACCAAGTCCACGTCCACGTCTATGACCAAGTCCACGTTCACGACCACGTCCACGTCCAAGTCCACGTCCACGTTCACGACCACGTCCACGTCCACGTCCACGTCCACGTCCACGTCCACGTCCAACTCCACGTACACGTCCAAGACCACGTCCACGTCCAACTCCACGTCCACGTCCAGTCCACGTCCAACTCCACGTCCAGTTTACGTCCAAGTCCACGTCCACGTCCACGTCCACGTCCACGTCCACGTCCACGTCCAAGTCCACGTCCACGTCCACGACCACGTCCACGACCACGTCCAAGTCCACGTCCACGTCCACGACCACGTCCACGTCCACGTCCACGTCTACGTCCACGTCCAAGTCCACGACCACGTCCACGTCCACGTACACGTTCAAGTCCACGTCCACGTCCACGTCCACGTACATTTCCACGTCCACGTCTACGTCCACGTCCAAGTCCAAGTCCAAGTCCACGTCCACGTCCCCGACCACGTCCACGTCCCCGTCCAAGTCCACGTCCAAGTCCACGTCCAAGTCCACGTCCACGTCCACGTCCACGTCCACGTCCAAGTCCACGTCCAAGTCCACGACCACGTCCAAGTCCACGACCACGTCCACGTCGACGTCCACGTCCACGTCCACGTCGACGTCCACGTCCACGTCCACGTTCACGACCACCTCCAAGTCCACGACCACGTCGATGTCCACGTCCAGGTCCACGACCACGTCCACGTCCACGACCAGGTCCACGTCCACGTCCACGTCCACGTCCAGGTCCACGTCCAGGTCCACGTTCACGTCCAAGTCCACGACCACGTCCACGTCCACGTCACGACCACGTCTACGTCCACGTCCACGTCACGACCACGTCCACGTCCACGTCACGACCACGTCCACGTCCACGTCCACGTCCACGACCACGTCCACGTCAATGTCCACGTCCACGTCCACGTCCACGACCAAGTCCACGTCCACGACCACGTCCACGTCCACGTCCACGTCCACGTTCAGGTCCACGTCCACGTCCACGTCCACGTCCACGTCCACGACCACGTCCACGTCCACGTCCACGTCCACGTCCACGACCACGTCCACGTCCACGACCACGTCCACGTCCACGTCCACGTCCACGACCACGTCCACGATCACGTCCACGTCCAGTCCACGTCCACGTCCAAGTCCACGTCCACGTCAAAATCCACGTCCACGTCCACGTCCCGTCCACGTCCACGTCCACGTCAACGTCCACGTCCAGTCCACGTCCACGTCCACGGCGACCACGTCCACGTCCACGTCCACGTCCACGTCCACATCTAAGTCCAAGTCCACGTCCACGTCCACGACCACGTCCACGACCACGTCCACGACCACGTCCACGTCCACGTCCACGTCCACGTCCAAGTCCACGTCCACGTCCACGACCACCTCCACGTCCACGTCCAAGTCCACGTCCACGTTCACGTCCACGACCAGGTCCACGTCCACGTCCACGTCCACGTCCACGTCCACGTCCACGTCCACGTCCACGACCACGTCCAGGTCCACGTCCACGTCCACGTCCCCACGTCCACCTCCACGACCACGTCCACCTCCACGACCACGTCCACGACCACGTCCACGTCCACGTCCACGTCCACGTCCACGACAACGTCCAAGTCCACGGCCACGTCCACGTCCACGTCCACGTCCACGTCCAGGTCCACGTCCATGTCCACGTCCACGTCCACGTCCAGGTCCACGTCAACGTCCACGACCACGTCCACGTCCACGTCCACGTCACGTCCACGTCCACGTCCACGTCCACGACCACGTCCAAGTCCAGGTCCACGTCCACGACCACGTCCACGTCCACGTCCACGTCCAAGTCCACGTCCACGACCACGTCCACGTCCACGTCCACGTCCACGTCCAGGACCACGTCCACGTCCACGCACGTCCACGTCCAGTCCACGTCAACGTCCACCTCCAGTTTACGTCCAAGTCCACGTCCAAGTCCACGTCCACGTCCACGTCCACGTCCACGTCGAACTCCACGTCCACGTCCAAGACTACGACCACGTCCACGTCCACGACCACGTCCAGTCTACGTCCAAGTCCACGTCCACGACCACGTCCACGACCACGTCCAAGTCCACGTCCACGTCCACGTCCACGTCTACGTCCAGGTCCACGTCCACGTCCACGACCACGTCCACGACCACGTCCAAGTCCACGTCCACGTCCACGTCCACGTCCACGTCCACGACCATGTCCACGATCACGTCCACGTCCAGTCCACGTCCACGTCCAAGTCCACGTCCATGTCCACGACCACGTCCACGACCACGTCCAAGTCCACGTCCACGTCCACGACCACGTCGACGATCACGTCCACGTCCATTCCACGTCCACGTCCAAGTCCACGTCCAAGTCAAAATCCACGTCCACGTCCACGTCCCGTCCACGTCCACGTCCACGTCAACGTCCACGTCCACGTCCACGTCAACGTCCACGTCCAGTCCACGTCCAAGTCCACGGCGACCACGTCCACGTCCAGGTCCACGTCCACGTCCACGTCTAAGTCCAAGTCCACGTCCACGTCCACGACCACGTCCACGACCACGTCCACGACCACGTCCACGTCCACGTCCACGTCCACGACCACCTCCACGTCCACGTCCAAGTCCACGACCACGTCCACGTTGACGTCCACGTCCACGACCAGGTCCACGTCCACGTCCACGTCCACGACCACGTCCAGGTCCACGTCCACGTCCACGTCCCCACGTCCACCTCCTCGACCACCTCCACGACCACGTCCACGTCCACGTCCACGTCCACGTCCACGTCCAGGTCCACGTCCACGTCCACGTCCACGTCCACGTCCAGGTCCAGGTCCACGTCCACGTCCACGTGCACGTCCAGGTCCAGGTCCACGTCCACGTCCACGTCTACGTCCACGTCCACGACAACGTCCAAGTCCACGGCCACGTCCACGTCCACGTCCACGTCCACGTCCACGTCCACGTCCACGTCCACGTCCACGTCCAGGTCCACGTCAACGTCCACGACCACGTCCACGTCCACGTCACGTCCACGTCCACGTCCACGTCCACGACCACGTCCAAGTCCAGGTCCACGTCCACGACCACGTCCACGTCCACGTCCACAACCACGACCACGTCCACGTCCACGTCCACGTCCAAGACCACGTCCACGTCCACGCACGTCCACGTCCAGTCCACGTCAACGTCCATCTCCAGTTTACGTCCAAGTCCACGTCCAAGTCCACGTCCACGTCCACGTCCACGTCCACGTCCAACTCCACGTCCACGTCCAAGACTACGACCACGTCCACGTCCACGACCACGTCCAGTCTACGTCCAAGTCCACGTCCACGTCCACGACCACGTCCATGACCACGTCCAAGTCCACGTCCACGTCCATGCCACGTCTACGTCCAAGTCCACGTCCACGTCCACGACCACGTCCACGACCACGTCCAAGTCCACGTCCACGTCCACGTCCACGTCCACGTCCACGACCACGTCCACGACCACGTCCACGTCCACGTCCACGTCCACGTCCACGACAACGTCCAAGTCCACGGCCACGTCCACGTCCACGTCCACGTCCACGTCCACGTCCACGTCCATGTCCACGTCCACGTCCACGTCCAGGTCCACGTCAACGTCCACGACCACGTCCACGTCCACGTCACGTCCACGTCCACGTCCACGTCCACGACCACGTCCAAGTCCAGGTCCACGTCCACGACCACGTCCACGTCCACGTCCACGTCCAAGTCCACGTCCACGACCACGTCCACATCCACGTCCACGTCCACGTCCAGGACCACGTCCACGTCCACGCACGTCCACGTCCAGTCCACGTCAACGTCCACCTCCAGTTTACGTCCAAGTCCACGTCCAAGTCCACGTCCACGTCCACGTCCACGTCCACGTCGAACTCCACGTCCACGTCCAAGACTACGACCACGTCCACGTCCACGACCACGTCCAGTCTACGTCCAAGTCCACGTCCACGACCACGTCCACGACCACGTCCAAGTCCACGTCCACGTCCACGTCCACGTCTACGTCCAGGTCCACGTCCACGTCCACGACCACGTCCACGACCACGTCCAAGTCCACGTCCACGTCCACGTCCACGTCCACGTCCACGACCATGTCCACGATCACGTCCACGTCCAGTCCACGTCCACGTCCAAGTCCACGTCCATGTCCACGACCACGTCCACGACCACGTCCAAGTCCACGTCCACGTCCACGTCCACGACCACGTCGACGATCACGTCCACGTCCATTCCACGTCCACGTCCAAGTCCACGTCCAAGTCAAAATCCACGTCCACGTCCACGTCCCGTCCACGTCCACGTCCACGTCAACGTCCACGTCCACGTCCACGTCAACGTCCACGTCCAGTCCACGTCCAAGTCCACGGCGACCACGTCCACGTCCAGGTCCACGTCCACGTCCACGTCTAAGTCCAAGTCCACGTCCACGTCCACGACCACGTCCACGACCACGTCCACGACCACGTCCACGTCCCCGTCCACGTCCACGACCACCTCCACGTCCACGTCCAAGTCCACGACCACGTCCACGTTGACGTCCACGTCCACGACCAGGTCCACGTCCACGTCCACGTCCACGACCACGTCCAGGTCCACGTCCACGTCCACGTCCCCACGTCCACCTCCTCGACCACCTCCACGACCACGTCCACGTCCACGTCCACGACCACGTCCAGGTCCACGTCCACGTCCACGTCCACGTCCACGTCCAGGTCCAGGTCCACGTCCACGTCCACGTCCACGTCCAGGTCCATGTCCACGTCCACGTCCACGTCTACGTCCACGTCCACGACAACGTCCAAGTCCACGGCCACGTCCACGTCCACGTCCACGTCCACGTCCAGGTCCACGTCCACGTCCACGTCCACGTCCAGGTCCACGTCAACGTCCACGACCACGTCCACGTCCACGTCACGTCCACGTCCACGTCCACGTCCACGACCACGTCCAAGTCCAGGTCCACGTCCACGACCACGTCCACGTCCACGTCCACAACCACGACCACGTCCACGTCCACGTCCACGTCCACGTCCAAGACCACGTCCACGTCCACGCACGTCCACATCCAGTCCACGTCAACGTCCATCTCCAGTTTACGTCCAAGTCCACGTCCAAGTCCACGTCCACGTCCACGTCCACGTCCACGTCCAACTCCACGTCCACGTCCAAGACTACGACCACGTCCACGTCCACGACCACGTCCAGTCTACGTCCAAGTCCACGTCCACGTCCACGACCACGTCCATGACCACGTCCAAGTCCACGTCCACGTCCACGTCCACGTCTACGTCCAAGTCCACGTCCACGTCCACGACCACGTCCACGACCACGTCCAAGTCCACGTCCACGTCCACGTCCACGTCCACGACCATGTCCACGATCACGTCCACGTCCAGTCCACGTCCACGACCATGTCCACGATCACGTCCACGTCCACGACCACGTCCACGACCACGTCCAAGTCCACGTCCACGTCCACGTCCACGACCACGTCGACGATCACGTCCACGTCCATTCCACGTCCACGTCCAAGTCCACGTCCAAGTCAAAATCCACGTCCACGTCCACGTCCCGTCCACGTCCACGTCCACGTCAACGTCCACGTCCAGTCCACGTCCAAGTCCACGGCAACCACGTCCACGTCCAGGTCCACGTCCACGTCCACGTCTAAGTCCAAGTCCACGTCCACGTCCACGACCACGTCCACGACCACGTCCACGACCACGTCCACGTCCACGACCACCTCCAAGTCCACGTCCACGTCCACGTCCACGTCCACGTCCAGGTCCACGTCCACGTCCACGTCCACGTCACGTCCACGTCCATGTCCACGACCACGTCCAAGTCCAGGTCCACGTCCACGACCACGTCCACGTCCACGTCCAAGTCCACGTCCACGACCACGTCCACGTCCACGTCCACGTCCACGTCCAAGACCACGTCCACGTCCACGCACGTCCACGTCCAGTCCACGTCAACGTCCACCTCCAGTTTACGTCCAAGTCCACGTCCAAGTCCACGTCCACGTCCACGTCCACGTCCACGTCCAACTCCACGTCCACGTCCAAGACTACGACCACGTCCACGTCCACGACCACGTCCAGTCTACGTCCTAGTCCACGTCCACGTCCACGACCACGTCCACGTCCACGTCCAGGTCCACGTCCACGTCCACGTCCACGTCCACGTCCAGGTCCACGTCAACGTCCACGACCACGTCCACGTCCACGTCCACGTCACGTCCACGTCCACGTCCACGTCCACGACCACGTCCAAGTCCAGGTCCACGTCCACGACCACGTCCACGTCCACGTCCACGTCCAAGTCCACGTCCACGACCACGTCCACGTCCACGTCCACGTCCACGTCCACGTCCAAGACCACGTCCACGTCCACGCACGTCCACGTCCAGTCCACGTCAACGTCCACCTCCAGTTTACGTCCAAGTCCACGTCCAAGTCCACGTCCACGTCCACGTCCACGTCCACGTCCAACTCCACGTCCACGTCCAAGACTACGACCACGTCCACGTCCACGACCACGTCCAGTCTACGTCCAAGTCCATGTCCACGTCCACGACCACGTCCATGACCACGTCCAAGTCCACGTCCACGTCCACGTCCACGTCTACGTCCAAGTCCACGTCCACGTCCACGACCACGTCCACGACCACGTCCAAGTCCACGTCCACGTCCACGTCCACGTCCACGACCACGTCCACGACCACGTCCAAGTCCACGTCCACGTCCACGTCCACGTCCACGACCATGTCCACGATCACGTCCACGTCCAGTCCACGTCCAAGTCCACGTCCACGTCCACGACCACGTCCACGACCACGTCCAAGTCCACGTCCACGTCCACGACCACGTCGACGATCACGTCCACGTCCATTCCACGTCCACGTCCAAGTCCACGTCCAAGTCAAAATCCACGTCCACGTCCACGTCCCGTCCACGTCCACGTCCACGTCAACGTCCACGTCCAGTCCACGTCCAAGTCCACGGCGACCACGTCCACGTCCAGGTCCACGTCCACGTCCACGTCTAAGTCCAAGTCCACGTCCACGTCCACGACCACGTCCACGACCACGTCCACGACCACGTCCACGTCCACGTCCACGTCCACGTCCACGACCACCTCCACGTCCACGTCCACGTCCAAGTCCACGACCACGTCCACGTCGACGTCCACGTCCACGACCAGGTCCACGTCCACGTCCACGTCCACGACCACGTCCAGGTCCACGTCCACGTCCACGTCCCCACGTCCACCTCCTCGACCACCTCCACGACCACGTCCACGTCCACGTCCACGACCACGTCCAGGTCCACGTCCACGTCCACGTCCACGTCCAGGTCCAGGTCCACGTCCACGTCCACGTCCACGTCCAGGTCCACGTCCACGTCCACGTCCACGTCCACGACCACGTCCACGTCCACGTCCACGACCACCTCCAAGTCCACGTCCACGTCCACGTCCACATCCACGTCCAAGTCCACGTCCACGTCCACGACCACGTCCACGTCCACGTCCACGTCCAAGTCCACGTCCACGTCCACGTCCACGTCCAAGACTACGACCACGTCCATGCACGTCCACGTCCAGTCCACATCAACGTCCACGTCCAACTCCACGTCCACGTCCAAGACTACGACCACGTCCACATCCACGACCACGTCCAGTCTACGTCCAAGTCCACGTCCACGACCACGTCCACGACCACGTCCAAGTCCACGTCCACGTCCACGTCCACGTCCATGTCCAAGTCCACGTCCACGTCCACGACCACGGCCACAACCACGGCCACGTCCACTTCCAAGTCCACGGCCACGTCCACGTCCACGTCCACGTCCACGTACAGGTCCACGTCCACGTCCACGTCCACGTCCACGTCCCGGTCCAAGTCCACGTCCAAGTCCACGACCACGTCCACGTCCACGTCCACGTCCACGTCGACGTCCACGTCCACGTCCACGACCACCTCCAAGTCCACGTCCACGTCCAAGTCCACGTCCACGTCAAAATCCACGTCCACGTCCACGTCCCAATCCACGTCCACGTCCACGTCCCGTCCACGTCCACGTCCACGTCAACGTCCACGTCCAGTCCACGTCCACGTCCACGGCGACCACGTCCACGTCCACGTCCACGTCCACGTCCACGGCGACCACGTCCACGTCCACGTCCACGGCGACCACGTCCACGTCCACGTCCACGTCCACGTCCACGTCCACGTCTAAGTCCAAGTCCACGTCCACGTCCACGACCACGTCCACGACCACGTCCACGACCACGTCCACGTCCACGTCCAAGTCCACGTCCACGTCCACGTCCTCGTCCACGACCACGTCCACGTCCACGTCCACGACCACGTCCACGTCCACGTCCACGTCCACGTCCACGTCCACGACCACGTCCAGGTCCACGTCCACGTCCACGTCCCCACGTCCACCTCCACGACCACGTCCACCTCCACGACCACGTCCACCTCCACGACCACGACCAGGTCCACGTCCACGTCCACGTCCACGTCCACGACCACGTCCACGTCCACGTCCACGACCACGTCCAGGTCCACGTCCAGGTCCACGTCCACGTCCACGTCCACGTCCACGTCCACGTCCACGTCTACGTCCACGACCACCTCCACGACCACCTCCACGTCCACGTTCAAGTCCACGACCGCGTCCACGTCCACGTCCACGTCCACGACCACGTCCACGTACACGTCCACGTCCACGTCCAAGTCCAAGTCCAAGTCCACGTCCACGTCCACGTCCACGTCCACGTCCACGACCACGTCCACGTCCACGTCCACGTCCACGACCACCTCCAAGTCCACGTCCACGTTCACGTCCACGTCCACGACCACGTCCAAGTCCACGTTCACGTCCACGACCACGACCACGTCCAAGTCCACGTCCACGACCACCTCCAAGTCCACGTCCACGTCCACGTCCACGACCACGTCCAAGTCCACGTCCACGTTCACGTCCACGTCCACGACCACGTCCAAGTCCACGTTCACGTCCACGACCACGACCACGTCCAAGTCCACGTCCACGACCACCTCCAAGTCCACGTCCACGTCCACGTCCACGTCCACGACCACGTCCAAGTCCACGTCCACGTCCACGACCACGTCCACGTCCACGTCCAAGTCCACGTCCACGTCCACGACCACGACCAGGTCCACGTCCACGTCCACGTCCACGTCCACGTCCACGTCCACGTCCACGTCCACGTCCACGTCCACCTCCACGTCCACGTCCACGTCCACGTCCACGTCCACGTCCAGGTCCACGTCCACGTCCACGTCCAAGACTACGACCACGTCCATGCACGTCCACGTCCAGTCCACGTCAACGTCCACCTCCAGTTTACGTCCAAGACCACGTCCAAGTCCACGTCCATGTCCACGTCCACGTCCACGTCCAACTCCACGTCCACGTCATCGTCCACGTCCACGTCCACGTCCACGTCCACGTCCACGTCCACGTCCACGTACAGGTCCACGTCCACGTCCACGTCCACGTCCACGTCCAAGTCCAAGTCCAAGTCCACGTCCACGTCCACGTCCACGTCCACGTCCCCGTCCAAGTCCACGTCCACGTCCACGTCCCGGTCCACGTCCACGTCCCGGTCCAAGTCCACGTCCAAGTACACGACCACGTCCACGACCACGTCCACGTCCACGTCCACGTCCACGTCCACGACCACCTCCAAGTCCACGTCCACGTCCACGTCCACGTCCACGTCCACGTCCACGTCCAAGTCCACAACCACGTCCACGTCCACGTCCACGTCCACGTCCACGTCCACGTCCACGACCAGGTCCACGTCCACGTCCACGTCCAGGTCCACGTCCACGTCCACGACCACGTCCACGTCCACGTCCACTTCCACGTTCACGTCAAAGTCCACGTCTACGACCACGTCCACGTCCACGTCGAGCCGTGTGGTCGTCGACGCGGTAGAAGGGGTGGAAGCAAAGGATGGAGAGAGGCGCAGGGAGTGGACGTTTTGAGTCGACTCAAATAAAGACGTAGAGAGCGACCGAAACTAGTGTAGCCACTATGAGGAGTTGTGTGTTCGTCGACACGGTAGAGGGGGTAGAAGCAGAGGGTGGAGAAAGAAGCAGGGAGTGGACGTTTTGAGTTGGCCCAAAACAAGACATAGAGAGCGACCGAAACTAGTGCTGCTACCACGCCGAGCCGTTTGGTCGTCAACGAGGTAGAGGGGGTGGAAGCAAAGGGTGGAGGGAAGAACAGGGGTCGACGTTTTCAGTCAACCCAAATCAAGACGCAGAGAGGGACCGAACCTAGTACAGCCACCACGTCGAGCCGTGTGGTCGTCGACGCGGTAGAGGGGGTGGAAGCAGAGGGTCGAGAGAGGAGCAGAAAAGTCGGCGTTTTTAGTCGGCCCAAAACAAGACGTAGAGAGCGACCGAAACCTAGTGTAGCCACCACGTCGAGCCGTGTGGTCGTCGACGAGGTAGAGGGGGTGGAAACAGAGGATGGAGAGAGGAGTAGGGGGTCGACGTTTGAGTCGGCCCAAAATAAGACGTAGAGAGCGACCGAACCTAGTGCAGCCATCACGTCGAGCCGTGTGGTCGTCGACGCAGTAGAGGGGGTGGAAGCAGAGGGTGGAGAGAGGAGCAGGGAGTCGACGTTTTGAGTCGGCCCAAAACAAGATGCAGGGAGCGACCGAACCTAGTGTAGCCACCACGTCGAGCCGTATGGTCGTCGACGCGGTAGAGGGGGTGGAAGCAGAAGGTGGAGAGAGGAGCAGGGAGTCGACGTTTGAGTCGGCCCAAAACAAGATGTGACCAAGGTGCGCGTGTGACCAAGGCGCGCGTGTGACCAAGGCGCGCGTCTGACCAAGGCGCGCGTGTGACCAAGGCGCGCGTGTGACCAAGGCGCGCGTGTGACCAAGGCGCGCGTGTGACCAAGGCGTGCGTGTGACCAGGGCGCGCGTGTGACCAAGGCGCGCGTGTGACCAGGGCGCGCGTGTGACCAGGGTGCGCGTGTGACCAGGGCACGTGTGTGACCAAGGCGCGCGTGTGACCAGGGCGCGCGTGTGACCAGGGCGCGCGTGTGACCAGGGCGCGCGTGTGACCAGGGCGTGCGTGTGACCAGGGCGTGCGTGTGACCAGGGCGCGCGTGTGACCCAGGCGTGCGTGTGACCAAGGCGTGCGTGTGACCAAGGCGCGCGTGTGACCAAGGCGTGCGTGTGACCAAGGCGCGCGTGTGACCAAGGCGTGCGTGTGACCACGGCGTGCGTGTGACCAAAGCGTGCGTGTGACCAAGGCGTGCGTGTGACCAAGGCGCGCGTGTGACCAGGGCGCGCGTGTGACCAAGGCGTGCGTGTGACCAAGGCGTGCGTGTGACCAAGGCGTGCGTGTGACTAGGGCGCGCGTCTGACCAGGGCGTGCGTGTGACCAAGGCGCGCTTGTGACCAAGGCGCGCATGTGACCAGGGCGCGCGTGTGACCCAGGCGCGCATGTGACCAAGGCGTGCGTGTGACCAAGGCGTGCGTGTGACCAGGGCGCGCGTGTGATGAGGGCGCGCGTGTGACCAGGGCGCGCGTGTGACCAGGGCGCGCGTGTGACCAAGGCACGCGTGTGACCAATGCGCGCGTGTGACCAGGGCGTGCGTGTGACCAGGGCGCGCGTGTGACCAGGGCGCGCGTGTGACCAGGGTGCGCGTGTGACCAGGGCGCGTGTGTGACCATGGCGTGCGTGTGACCAGGGCGTGCGTGTGACCAGGGCGCGCGTGTGACCAGGGCGCGCGTCTTACCAGGGCGCGCGTGTGACCAAGGCGCGCGTGTGACCAAGGCGTGCGTGTGACCAGGGCGCGCGTGTGACCAGGGCGCGCGTGTGACCAAGGCGTGCGTGTGACCAAGGCGTGCGTGTGACCAATGTCAAACATTGTTTGTTTACATTGTGTAGGCTATAGTGGGTTTAGCCTTAGGGGGTACAACAAACTTAGGGTTTCCTACTTGTACCCAACTTTCTGCTAGTTCATCCATTCTCGTTCGTTCTTAGTTTCTAACATGGTATCGCGAGCCTAGGTCGTAACCTAGGACCGAATGATAGCCCACCGTTTCCGCTTTGTCGCGCCCTAGCGCGCCTCGCTTAGTCGTGCCCTCGAGCGCCTCACTCTCTCCCTCACTATCGCGCGCCCTAGCGCGCCTTTCGCGATCGGCCCCGCCTAGCCAGCACGCCCTAGCGTGCCTCGTGCGACCGGCCCCGCTCACCTCGTCCGCCCTAGCGTGCGACCCGCGCAGCACCACGCGCGTCACCTGCACCGCGCGCCCTTGCGTGCCCCATTCGGCCCCGCGCAGTCGCTGCCCCGCGCGCCCTTGCGCGCCTCTTACGGACCGGCCCCGCCCCTTAGCGCGCGCCCTTGCGTGCCCCGTGCGACCGGCCCCCACCCACCCGCACGCCCTTGCGTGCCCCTCGCGTACCGGCCCCGCCCCGCTAGCCCGCCACCTCGTGCCCCGTGCGACCAGCCCAAACCCACCCGCGCGCCCTTGCGTGCCCCTCGTGTACCGGCCCCGCCCTCGCTAGCTCGCCACCCCGTGCCCCGTGCGGACCGGACCCGCCCTGCCGTGCACGCCCTCACGTGCCCCACCTCGAGTAGCCGCTGCCTAGCCGAGCCGAACCGCCCCACCGAACCGCGTCACCCGGCCCGAGCCGCGCCGCCCTACCGAACCGCGCCGCCCTACCGAGCCGCGCCGCCCTACCGAGCCGCGCCACTGCTGCAGTCACTGCTACTGACACTGCTGCTGTTACTACTGCTACTGCTCTTCCTGCAACTATGGCTAGCCCTGCTGTGCTCGCTTTCGATGCTGAGGGCCGCCCACTGAAGTTTGACACCTGGCTAGATGACTTGCACCTGTTCCTCCAGCTCACTGCCAAGGAGGTTATCTCGCTGTACGATCACGCACTAGGCCACGCTGCTGCCCCTGCTGCTACTGCTGACAGTACTGCCCGCTCACAGTGGCAGACTCGTGACGCCCACGCTCGCTTCGCTATTCGCAACTCCCTGCCGGTAGATGAGCGCGAGCACTTTGGCCAGCACAAAACTGCGCAGGCACTGTACACTGCTGTAGTTGCACGCTACTCCTCACCTGCCTCTGCTGCGCTAGGTCGTCTCTCGCTCCCCTACCTGTTCCCAGACCTCTCCGCTTTCGCCACAGTCGCTGACCTCATCACGCACCTCCGCACTAGTGAGGCCCGCTTTCGTGCCGCTATGCCCGCTGAGTTTCTTGTCACGCACCCCCCCCCACTCTGGCTTACTCTCTACCACCTAGTCACCCGACTCCCTGACACTCTTCGTGCGGTCAGGGACCACTTCCTCGCTCGCTGCCCCACTGAGCTCACCGTTGACCTGCTCGAGAAGGAACTGCTTGCAGCTGAGACTAGCATAGTCGCTGTAGCTGCCTCTCGTGGCGACCCCCGCACCCCTTTCTTCGAGGGGTGTTCCCCTTCCCCCCTTCTCCCCTCTGTCGCCTCTGCTGCTGCTGTCGACCTAGTTGGTACTGAGCAGGTCGGGACTGCGTCCGCTCCGAGCTGGCGCCGCAGCGGCAAGGGCAAAGGGGGCAAGGGAGGTGGAGGTGACGGAGGGGGAGGCGGTGGTGGGGGCGGTGGCGGCGGTGGGGGCGGTGGCGGGGCTGGAGGGGCTAGTGGCGGCGGTGGGGGTGGTGGCGGCAGCGGCGGAGGAGGTGGCCGGGGTGGGGGCGGTGGTGGGGGCGGCGGTGGACGCGGGGGCGGCAGGGGCGGTGGTGGTCGAGGTGGTGGCGGCGGAGGTGGTGGTCGTGGTGGCGCTGGTGGACAGCAGACTCCGTCGCCCCAGGAGCTTCGTGAGTGGTACTCTCAGCACGGGGGGGGGGGGGGGTGGCCTTAGCTGCACGTACGTCATCCGCACAGGTGACCGCACTGGCCAGACGTGTGGGAGGGCGCACACCGCGCAGCGCTGCTTCTCCCGCCTTGACGACGCTTGGCGCACTCAGTTCCCTGCTGCCACTGAGCTGCCCCGCTGGGCTGATCTGATGAGGAAGAACATTGATATCTATGCTCTTGACTTTGATGCTATTCTCACTGCCATGTATGTGTTGTCTACTAGTGGAGAGGGTGCTCAGTACCTGCGTGTTCCGCCCGACCCGGGCATTCGGACCAGTGAGGCTGCCGATCTAGGTGCTTGCGTGTCTGCTGCCCCAGGTGCTGGTGAGGCTGCCGCTCCAGGTGCTTGCGTGTCTACTGCCCCAGGTGCTGGTGAGGCTGCCGCTCCAGGTGCTTGCGTGTCTACTGCCCCAGGTGCTGGTGAGGCTGCCGCTCTAGGTGCTCGTGAGTCTGCGCCCCCTGGTACT